AAACAGGTTAGTGGATACTTCACATTATTTCTTTACCACTCCAATGCAACAACATACGTGCCTCACTGTAGAATACTGAATATTGAAAATAGAGAGCTAATAGACATGCGTCTGGGTTGCTCCATCGTAGTCAGTTCGGGCACATGCGCGATCCAACTCAATGATATCTGAGCGTCTGCGACTATTACAGCTGCGCCGCATGCTATTCGGCTGAGATGCGCTCCCTGTATCTGCAAAGTGCGTGTCCGGGACCTGCTTGAATTCCGACACCCGTTTCGCCTCAACAATGTCGCTGGTAAACCGTCTCAATATTTCACCACTCGGCGCTCGAAGCATAGGGGGTGAGCTATCCGCTTTAGGTCCGGTACCACTAGCTTGTAGCGGTGCCCGTGAGTGCTGCTTGGTGCGCGCACGTGAAGCAGTGGCCTCAGCATGGGGAAGTGACCCAGATACAATATCCGATGCGTCATAATGAGATCAACCCTAAACCGACGATACGACAGGGTGTACAGCCCTAGTCATCTGTATCGGTCTTCGTACTTCATACCCCGTAAACTGGGAATGAGACTGGTAGCCACATGTTGAACACGTTCAAGTCTTTGCAGCTCGCCATAGGAGCTCGGGCAATAGGCGGGTGATCAGTACTGAAGCATCGTTTTCATGATGGAAGTGAAGGGACGCTTGGCAATCTCCTCATACCAAATGCAGAAGCTGTGTTTGTGCGCCCAAAGCATGCGCAGTTCGTTTCCAGATAGCTTGTTCGTGTGGTCTACGGGCTTCAAGTCGCAGCTTGAGGGTTCTCCGAGACCCTGCACGAAAGGTGTGTGATGTAGCGGCTGGCCCGCCAGCATGTACCTGCGCCCATCAACACCCTTCCCCAGGCTCATATATAACCATATGACTGGTTTGAACGGCAGACAAGTCTCTGTAGGCTACCTGGACAGGAGGTCGTGGTCATGCTGAAGATCTTCACAGTCGTCGGGAGAAGCAATAACCCTCCAAATCTTCAGTTCGTCCACAAACAATGCACAGAGCAACCGAAGGAGCCTAGGCATTTCGTTGCTGTGAGTCAGGAACAATATGGGTCCCAGTACTGTACTATGTGGAACCCTACTGGTGTAGAGATTCCAGTCCGTTAGATGGTCGTACACGTATGCCCTCCATTTCCTTCTAATGAGGAAGTCAGTGATCCACTTGTGCAGTGAGCCATCGACACCGCACATCCTCAGCTTGTTTAGAAGGACCTTATGATTCACTTTGTCGAACGCTTTGCGGAAATCGATGTAGATCACATCCTCCGACTTCCCCCGGTTCAAAGCCTGCAAACATTCACGTCGCGTCAACAGCACGTTGGTGATACAGTAGTGATCTTTTATGCAGTCGTGGCGTGCGGTGATCAGGAGGTTTTTCGACTCCAGCAACTGCAGTAGACCACTTTTCGGGATTTTCCAGATTACTTTCTTCAAAACGGAGGTCAGATAAAGCGGCCGGTAACTGTTTGCCTTGCTTGGATCACCTCGCCTCGGAATCGGTTTCACTACCAAGCACTTCAGATGGCTCGGCAACACACCTGCAGTCTGTTGAACAGATCCGTCACGGATGGCTCAATGATGGCCGACAGTGAGCTCAGAAGTAACGGGTAGAGCCCATCTGGACCGGCGGGCTTCGTGCTGTCAAGACTGCCAAGTAGCTTGCCCACATTTTCCACATGACAATCCAGGCTCTCGAGTTCCGTAGGGGCTGCACTTGTGGAACCTCATGTATAAGCATGCGCGTTTGCAGATACAGAAGCGTAGTGCATTGCCAACGCAGACGCACCTTCAGAACTGGAAATCAGAAGCTATCTGTCAGAGTCTTCTTACACTGCTATGTCGCCTGCAGGTCTCAGGCGCCGCCTCACATAAGCGAAACTTTGCAGAGCAGCATAAAGCAATCCTGGCAACAAACAAAGATATCAAAGCTTGATAAGGTGTCCGCAGTAATCAGCCTAAACAGGCCAGAATATTTAAGTAACGTGGAGACAATACTGTAGACAGCACAACTCTCAAGCCTGATACTACCTTCGATACTTGTTTGGTTAGGAATCAAGTTTGTCGCGAAGTACGAATTTTAAACGTCATAGCTTTATCTCTGAAGACCAATATCAAGCACTAAAACTTGTGGACACTTTGCTGCACAAATGTACGGTCTTCCCAAAGTACATAAAGCAGGAATGCCTACGTAACCAATTATCTCCATGGGCAACTCACCGTGCCACGCAATCACCAGATAACTGAACAATATGCTTAAACCTGTCAGGAAACCCATGCTGAAACATACTTTATCAGACACCTTCGAATTCTTTCTTAACCAGAATGTGTTGACTCAAAAATAAATTGGTTCGCTTGATGTACAATCCCTCTTCGTCAACGTCCCTCTGAACGATACTGGATTATCTCTGTGAATTTATGTCCAGATATAATACCCGACTGTACTTTCTCACCGAGATGTTGCAGTACACGCTTCTCTTATGCATTACAAACATCAGGTTTTATTCTTAAGTAAAGACGTAGCGACAGATAGATGGTGTTGCTAAGGGCAGTCCACTAGGCTCTTTTTGCGAATCTCTTCAAGAACATGAACGAAGAGAGGACAGAAGACATCACAAAATCGGCGACTCTATACAGATGTATTATTTTACAGGAACATTTGGATTTATCTGCATTTATCACTATTATCAACCAAGTCATCTAGTTTAAAAATGCAACTGATCATCCAACTTTGCAACATAGTTTGGGAATTGCTCTGACCAAAGAACTCGAAGAAATATTATTCGTCCCATGCGATCCCGTCGTACATAAGGACCTGAACAATCAGTTTGCCTGTGCCTCGCACTGTCGAGGAATATACCTTTTTTTTCTTTATTTCATTGTTCAGTATGCAGTTGATATACTGATTCTCATGGATTCCAACGAGAACATCGCGCTTGCGACCGAGGTACTTAACGGTGCACACTCGAACATTACAGGGACGTGCGACATTAAGTAAAACAATTGTCTCTCACACCTAGACATCCTGCTCACACGACAAGTAGATGGTTCGATCAGAAAATCACTTCACCGAAGTTACAACCTGGATAGACCAGTACTAACATTTTAAGTGTTTCCCTCCGATACAACGCAGACATTTGCTCGTCCAGACTGTTTTATCGATCCCAAATGGTTTGCACCCCGGACACGTTAGAATCAGAGAAAGATTTGCTTTTTAGACCTTACGACTGAATAGTTATTAGTTACAGTTAATAAAGTGCCTTAGCGACATAGCTAAGCAACATCATGCCCCAACAGTCGAAGGAAGCCGCTTTTTACCGAGCTGCCTTACAACTGCGATCCTTTTAAAATCACCGTGCTTCATTGAAAAGAGCTTACAAAGCAGCTTGACCGCGATTACTCATATCAACAAGTTTTCGGTTCATGCGTTTCTTAACGAGGTACTACACGTTCCATTGCTTGTACAAATCCACTCGTAGCTGAGGAGGCAGCTGTGTCGGGCACACCTACTAAAGTTTAGGTGTCAGGATGAATGATCACATTTCTACTTGGTTACCCAGCCGAGTGGGATCAGTGACGGCGGAACTGGATGAGTTGAGTAAGCGATCTACCCCGGTAATCACAAAGCACTTGCCGAGCACCGGCGACCGAGTCAATAACGATGAGACATTCGCCATCCTGATGCACGATCATTGGCCCCCATTTGCAAGCTACTGTAAGCCAGCGTTATCGATCGAGAACGGCCACTGCTTTGAGTGCAGTAAGCTCTGACGGTGAACCCGAACTTAGCATGCTAGCGCGTGGCGGGTAGAATGGCCAATGACTGGCTAGCTAATGATCTCATACGATTGCTTTTGCTATATCTGGGATTCTTGCCTGATTTGCGATTGACGAGCTTGCACGAAATGACTGATTCAGCTTACCGTTTATGTCTACTGATTTAGCTGGTTGCTTTTTTGCTACTCTAGCTTAAGGAACATACAGACGTGTACTAATCAAGTAAACTGGAAAATGGCCCGAAACAAATCAAAACAAGTTTCAAGGAAAATTGTTGCGATACATCTTATTATGTTAAACACCGATGCAAGTGAGCAGTTGAACTCATGACATGTGTTACGCAGACCCGGATGGATTTACGTACCAAGTTGCTGACATAGTACAGTAGCACCGGATTCGTCACTTGTTTTCGACCATCACATTTGAACGGGAAACAGATTAAATTTTATGTGCGCAACAGAGGTTTATTCCGTTGCTCCCATGTAAGTTGGAGTTTAAAAGTTAGTTTCACTACTTGTTCGATCGATCGATCATTCTACTGAGTACATCCGCTGGAGGTAGATGAGAATACAGTGACTCGAATGTTTTTACTGCAGTTGATCAATCACGATGGCACTCGGCGCGACTTGTTCTTGAATGCCGTGAAGGATTGTCTGTCTCATCTCCTCAGCATTACTGAATCCATATTGAAGGACAGTCTGTTTCCCCTTTATACGAGATTAAATAAACAGTTGTTTGCTGAAGTTGTAGCCCCTGGGGTCTGTCTCTATTCTTTCTGGAAAATCTGCTATTTGTTTACATTGTCGCACACATGAAAAGCTCACCGAGTGACTGGTACCCGATGAATGTCTTTCTCCTATGCACTGTTAGTGTAGAATGCCTTGTTTGTTTATGAACAGGATAGGGTTCATCATAAAGATTTTTTGAATCCTTGATGTTATAGAAATTAAATCGACCAGCCACTCGAACCAGACAACCGACTGTGCATTAACTTAGACTGCTGTAATTTCTGCCATATGTTCACTGTCGTGCCACGATTAATCGGGGCTTCTACTTTCTAAAATAATCACACTACTCACAAAACCACTAATAAGCTAGAAAATCTATTGTCTGCCCCTCCATATAACTTACTGGTGTACCTAAAGTTTTTAATCGATTTGAATGCATTACTAAAACGGTGAGACTTTATTCCAGATCTGTGCGTATTTCACCGGTAACTTGGACGCTCCCGTCGCATGCTCTCCGTCATTCCCTGGAACCGAAGCAAACTACTTGCGAGCTCAGATTGCTCGGATTAGCGCATCTACTCAAATATCTCCAGAGGGATTTTTCACCTCTGAACATGGAGAAGAGGAAGAAGAACCAGAGCCAGAGCAATTGGAAGATGAGGAGGGCGGTGGGCAAATCACAATTAATGAGGATTACGAACCACTTCCCATGACGCAGCTTGCCAGTCCCAAGGTCGAACACTGGGTACATCATGTGCCTTATATTTTACCTCAAGGAAGGGTGACGTGGTAGGTAGTGAGTTACAGTAATCACGTACTCAATAATGACCTTTAGTTAAGGTAGGTCAATTAAATCCGCTAACACGAACCCCGTCGCTAGCATAATATTTGCGGCCAGTTAATGAGTACAGTAAGCAAGTCATTGTGTTTATTGATTTAAAATAAGACCGGTGTACCAGAGGTACGATCGATTTATCTTAGCATGTGCAGTGTAAAACACTTGCCTATCACTGGGCCGCACTCTCGGAAAACTTGCTAAGTAGCCAAGAGCTTTTTCCGATCAGTTTGAACTAATAATAGTATATTCTAGCCACAGTCCTAAGCCCTATTGTTCCATTGCTCCGTTGTTTTATGGGTAAGAAAGCGCTGTGGGTTGTTAAAAGTTACTTGAAAACCACCAACTCTGTACACTACCTAGGAAGTATGACCCATAAGCCAAGGACCTATTTTTCGAGTCATATTACACACTGTGATTGATCCAGAACCGTTTTCTTATTGGCTGAAAAATCGTATCACGTATGCGTAACTCGGTCTCGCCAGGAGAGCATTTTAATGTGGTTGCACTGTTTCGTCCTGCCGAACCCAGTCGGATATATGTAGCAGAAGTACTTTCGCAGCACGTTTCTTGCGAAACCCGAAACGTCCGTGACACAGCGGAGCAAACGTCGTCAAATATTTCTGTTATTGACAGATCGCCACCTGCACACGTCCTTGAGTAGAATGCTGACCCGTAGTCTTAAGAATCGCAAGCCCGCTTTGTAATCCGTGGACGCGGGTACAAGACTGTGTAGGGGATTTGACGGCCTTTGCAGTATCCATGACCCACATGCGACTGGTGGTGGATGCGTGGCAGTGAAGCATCGGTACTACATACCGGCATACTGTCGATGCCTTGAATGGAACAGGTAATTTTTCGAAAATAAGCGCCCTGAGAAAGGTGATGAAAATCGACGGAAACATTGAGTACAATTGGGATACGATACGAAAAGGTCGAAGATCTAAGGCCAGAATTATTACCGAGGAATCGGATCCGAATGGGAAAATGTGGTCTACAAATTTTGTCGTAGAAGTTGAAGATGGGGAAGTTGTTGCGAAAACAATATTAGTTTATCAGATGGACAGAGAATAAACGCTGGAAACGTGTTTCAATGTATTTGAATGGAGTGACGGAAGTACCCATCTCTTTATGTGTTATTGAACTTCTAGAGACAACGTTATGATTGCGCTATTCAGAATCCAAGGTGCGGCAAATGTGTTAGAAATCATAAGCTTCTCTACTATTAAAATTGACCACATGAGTAGACTTTTATTCAAAGCATAACTTCCCAGTTTCGTCGATAGTTAAGGCATTTCCCAGCAGGATTGGTACTAAATGGGCTAGCATTTAGTCGACATTTTTATGCTTTTGTTTAGAAAGATAACTATGAACGTGTAGAAAAGAATCGGTCTACATTCTAGAGAAACAGGAAAATAGGTATATCCACGGTACGCTAAATAACCCTAAACTTCTCCCAATTTCGTTTTGTACCGTGCGCTTAAGTTCCTATTTCCGGAAATACGGTTGATGTTGAAAAGAAATACTCGCTTGACAGAGATGGAAGAGGCACAGTTTTGAATGGCCAAGCTTCTGAGTAACGCGATACACAGTGCCATATAGCACTGGCTTCAGCTGTAAGGAAAGTATGTAGGAACTGTGTGGAATCATTGGGGTTTTACCTCAGTAGACCATAAATAATTACTGCTAACTAAACAAAGTAATAACACAAGGCTTGTTATTTTCGGGTCTGATCTTGTGCACATACTGGCTGACTGGACTCAATGGTTGTATCGTTCACAAAACCACCGAATTCCTTCTTTGTTTATCAAGTTGCTAGTGATTACTGAATTACATCAGCACTGAGCGATCAACCGTTGGTTTTATTTCATTCTTAAAAAGAAGTAATCATATTTCAGACGATATGAATGGAATTCATCACGGTTGTACGTGGAAGTAAGCATTCGTCATCCGGCAAAACGTAACACCCCAGACTTTGTGCGGTAACTGCGTAGTGACTCATAGATGAACTTCGATATAACCAACTAGGATCATCCAAATTCTCACTTAAAAGTTCTCGCATGACATACAAATCTGTCCACCCGAGCAGATTTCATTTTAACATTCGGTTTCAGGTGGAATCCAAGCTCTTCCGATTTTGACGAAACTGAACAGATACCGGAGGAGGAGGAAGAAGAGGAAGAGGAGGGCGCAGGAAAAGCCCATCCATCTTTACCCGAAAGTGGACTACCCATTCTCAGCCGGGTGTCATTGGATGCGCCAATTTTTGGCCAACCGGCTTGGTCCGTTAAAATGAGTCCAATATTCGTTCCAGAGAATGCAGTGGTTCTGGTCTCGTCCAATCTTTGGCCTGGATCACATGCCGTCGCTTGGGAAAGGTGGGTTGGATTACACTCTACGTAGTAGTTTCGTTGCTCAATTTGTTAGCTGGTTACCTTAGGCTCATTGCGACGGTTATCATAAGGTTGACATGTAGAAATACATCAACGCCGCCTCTTCTCATAACTATCTGATTAGTGAGACGAATAAAATTGTTTTCAGCCCCTTAGTCCATTTTACTGAAGCCTTAACGATAACGGTACAGGTTATAAGTGTTCGAACGTTTGTCCCAACGAAAGCATTGATGGTGGCACAGATCAAAGCACGTAATGCATGGCTTTAAAGTCACAGGCCAGGATAGCAAATGTCGTCGTGATCGTTCCTTGTACACCTTTAAGTGACGCGAATTATGAAAATGCTCTTAAGGAAACCTTGTAAAGATTACTGAGGGAAGTAGTAGCCAAGTGGGAAACAGTTTTATTGGTAGAGGCACTTCTTGGGAAATATTAAAACAGTAATTCGTTGATGCATGGAGCTACCAACATTGCTTCTTTGTTCAATTGCTGACAATAGCAGAGTCTTTTCCAGTTGTGTTGGTGGCATTCACAGGACTGAACATCAACGCAGGTTTGACCCCTTTTAGTTCACACCTGACTACTAGCATTAACTAAATTCACCGACCGGCTTGTTCTACCAAACATAGCAATAGACAATACGTTCCATACCCCAAAGTCTAACGTTTCAGGAGAGACCAGGTTATTTGATAAAGCAACAACAAGTTGCCCGCCATCTAAATGGACTATATCTTGCATTGTCGATAAAGATACAATTTTTTTGTTTTCTACACAATCACTGTTAGTGTTATAGCTCACAGCGCCCCACGGGCAACCGAAGTGAGAGCAGTTTGAAAGAACTCACTGAGGTTACTTCTAACAGAAGTCTTGGATTAAGTTTAGCTATTTCCTAGAGATTAAAACGGAGAGAAAATTCCAAACCTAACAATCCTTTTCATCATTTGGCCGCGCTCACCACACATTATGCCGCCGCACTCTACTTTGGTTCCGGCTTCATTCACGGTAGCCATTCTAATTCACCTTACACCTTGTGCGCGCGCTCTTTCGAAATGGTTCATTAAGTGGTACTCAGTGCTTTCCACCTCTTTGCTTTAACTTGCGTGAATCATGCTGTTGCTCTAGTTCACAGTCTGGGCACATTCCTTGCCAAAAGCTACGCGTGCAAGTACACTCCTAAGCCCAGAGAAGTTTGGAAACAATCGATCGGTATAGTAGTTTACTAACGTTTCACCCTTGACACAAGAGCTTCGTCAGACCAGGTCAATCAGCGTGCGATTGAAGTGGGATTTTATAGTGATTAGGGGTGATAACCGCGTTACCCGAGACTTGAGCCAAGGTGTCATTACAGTAACAGTTCGTGATCTCACCTCAGATGGTCCAATCGCAGTGGGAATAGTCCAGGTATTCCTTTGTGAGTCATCGTATTGATGGATAAGCATTAGAGAGTTCAACCCCCTCCCTTCCATTCACGTAGTCGTCGGATTTGGCAATTTCCACCGCCTCGGCAATCAACCGCTGAGGTCTTGATCGTATATCCTTCCTAATGGTCTCCACGTTTTCCAAGTCTATCTGGTAAGCCGTGTCTAATGCATGCACTGCCAAGTAACGTTCGGCGCTGGTACATCTACAGGATCCGCTTCCCAAGGATAGCATCACTAACTGTGTTTATAAAATTAAATGTAAGAACTGTACACATGTATATATAGGCCAAAGAGGGAGAGAATTACGCACACGAATTTCAGAGCAAAGAAAGCGCATTTCAAGAACACCAAGAAACGAGTCTGTATACCAGGCAATAAATAAATAAATAGTTTATTCTCGACGAAGCGAGGCACGCCTTTTGGGCATGATCAGCATATTGCAATATTGTACGTGATAGCATGAATAGCAGGACCAAGAGCGGGAGTAGTACAGATGGAGTCAGTAGTGTAGGCACACATGGCCCAAAGATTGTATGAAGTCTATCTTCACAGAATGCGAGATGTAGAGATAAGAATCAGATCATTAATGTGGAGTATGTTGATGAGGAACTAGTCCGATGAGTTTGTGTACACAGTGCGGGTCAGGTGATGGAGGCATGAGGGAAAAGCTGCGAAATTATTTTAAGGATAGTGGCATGTCACTGATCAGATATGTAGGCGTAATCGTACGAGAGCAGATATATGCATTGAATTTGTGAAATTTGGTATCGGTCAACTTTCCAATTGGGGTGGGGGCAGTGAGTTTATTGAGTGGCGAGTCACATCTGCCACGTCGTAGTGTTGTTAAACAGACATTTGTGGCTTTTTGTAGGGAGAACGCTTGCCAGGCTAAAATCCACCACGTCCTGGAACACTGCCGACCGGTGAGATGACATTGAAAAGGTTGCATCTGACCGATTATCCTTGCGGATATTCGCAGTCATGTTTCTCCAATTTGTTTCCTATGGTTGTGTAGTTGTCGGATCTTTTCCAGTTAAGCCCCGCCAAAAAGTTAAGCCCCGCCACCCAAAAAAGATTATGAAAATGGAGGATATGGAACTTGAACTTTTACTTTCTATTGAAGAGGGTGGAATTGAGACAAGTCATTAATAATTTGAATGAAAAGGTCCATTTTTCGGTGTCTTTGCCTCCAAACGAACTCACACAGGTAGCTGTCCACTAAAGATCGGTGTGTGCCGCATTGGCGCTTATTCTGCATCTTGTAAATGTGCCAGAGAGATTCGATGGTTTGTGTGTGAGCTCCAGTCGTTGGATTCACAAAGTTTTCGGTATGATTAACCGTTTGATGAGTATAACTCATGCCAACCATCGATCCAATGCCTTGGTATGATGCCCACATATCGGAAATGATAATTGAGCCGGGAGCGATGCAGGCCTGGATTGTGTCCAGCAGAGTGGCCGCAGTTCCATCTGGCACTGCATACAAGAACACTTCTTTAGTCTCCCGGCAAATCCCTCCGAAAATCCACTGCTGGGGAAGGACTCGCCCTGCATGGTTTTTACGACGTGATATTAGGGTTTCATCGATCTCGACATGTCGACCTGGGCCGCCGACAATCGTTGGAGTCTGCAAAAGCTGCCAGGCGCAAATTTCACGCAGAAAATTCTTCCAGTCGACAGCGGTCGCGTGGCCAATAGATAACTCCTCTGAGCAGAATTTGATTGTTGTCAGATTTTTGGACCAGCAATAAATGAATAGGATTATTGTCCTGAAATCCATCCTAGACCGCTGCAGCCAAGTTACCTTTCGAAGACCGATTTCTTGCCGACACTGTCGGGCATCACACCTCCACCTGTCAGAAACAGTTGAAAGTGTCATTTGGTGTCCTCGTCTGCATAAACGTTGATGATGAATCACTCCATGGCTTTGCAAAAAACGTATTGCTGTTTCCTTGTCATGAACGACCGCCGAAAGCGTCAGAAAGTTCATGTCAGGTTTTACGTGCGAACGTAGAAACTTTTTGGACAAAAATGACCTTAGAAGCGGATAAGGAGTGTTTTTATGGGGCACGTTCACATGCATTACGTACACTGGAGCTGGCAAACAGTGGCGGGGCTCAACTTTTCACGCGTGCCCTTTTTGCACTATTGGTGGGGCTTGACTTTTCAGGTGTACCCTTTTTGCCTTAGTGGCGGGGCTTAACTTTTTGCGCGTGCTCTTTTTACATTAGTGGCGGGGCTTAACTGGAAAAGATCCTAGTTGTCGCCTTGGCAGTCGACCGCAAGTGGTTGGAGCTGTTGAAGTCGGACGACTCAGATGACTTGAATTGATTTGATTAGTTTTCTGGGTTCCTTTAGTGTGTCAGGATTGCGAAGTGCAGATGATTTGATTGTTCTGTGTTGATTCCGTGTCCAGGTGAGCGTCGCAGGTATGTCCTCAAAGGTGTTCCGTGCAGGTATTGTTATCCCTTAGAACAAGGGAGAAAAGAAAAGCGGACCGAGCAAACTGCCAAAGAAATTGAACAGGACTGCATGAATGTATAAACATAAAATGGTTGGTAACGTTGTGCTGGTTAAAAGCAATGGCATGGCGGAATATTTAATACATATCCGTTGTTTTGCATGCAAGTGCGAGACCCGATATTAGTTGAATGGGAGAGACAAATGCTGCCCGAATTCGCCTAACATACGCAACAGTTGTCCTGTGTGGAAACCGGGAGTATCAGGCGTTGTTAACTGATGAATGAGTTGTGGGGATCAGAAGAACATAGTAAGTAGTGAAATCTGCGACTAAGATGTAGGTTGAGCGATCGGTCGACAGTGGTAGATCTTATCGTTTGAACATGTATAAGACTCGGCCATGGCAGTGGGTGCATTAGACACTGGCCACCAGATAGACTTGGCAAACGTAGAGGTCATTAGGGGGCGTATACGATCAAGACCTCAGCGGTTGATTGCCGAGGCGGTGAAAATTGCCAAATCCGACGACTACGTGAATAGAATGGAGGGGGTAGAACTCTAATGCTTGGCGAGCGATCTTAAGCCGGCAAGACTGATGAGCATCCGTGTATGAATCAGATTGGGAAGTGCAAACCGACTCCCATTGTCAACACTATGGGCTTATCCGTCAATACGATGACGCACAAAGGAACACCTGGCCATTGACACATGTTTACAAATTTACATGCACTTGCAAGGCCACTTATATCGGCATGCTAGAGTGCCAGCTGCGGGTGAGAATCGCGGAGCATATCCCAGCGTGGGTCAAAAATCACATTTCGAACCCAGCCTCATCCAGCACCCAACGTGTGCAGCCAAAGAACGCAAGTGGTCAACCTTTTAAGAAGCCATCTCCTGACCGACTAACACTGTGTTGACCCCACGCGTATGTTCAGTGTGATCTACGCATCAAACAACACTCATGTGCTGCGATACGCTGAGGCGGTCGCAATCAAACAGCTTGACCCTAGTCTGTGTGTGCAGAAGGACGCGTTCGTCACACTGGCTCTACCCTGGTAGTAAGCCAATAGACAGCTGATGAATTGACAAAGAGGTCTGTGCGCG